TCCAAAAATACTTTTCGTTTGCAGATACATATTAGTGTTGGCGCGATACGAGACGAGGCGAGAATTTTATCAATCTCGTCTTGTCTCATAATTTTAAGGCGATTTATCTAGAGCTGTGCAAAATTCGAACCGAACCGAGTTTAGTTCGGTTTTGGGGCGCCGAAATGTCGAATGTCGAATATTCGACATCCGAACTGGGCTAGTTCGAATATTATGTCGAATATTCGACATTCGAACTGGGCGACTGAAATGTCGAATTTTAGAATTCGATATTTTAGCGTACCAAAACCGAACAAAACTCGGTTCGGTTCGAATTTTGTAGTAACTCGAATGTCGAATATTCGACATTCGAACTGGACTAGTTCGAATGTCGAAAAACCGACATTCGAACTAGGCGAAAAAATTCGAACAGTTCGGTTCGAATTATTTTGCACAGCTCTAGATTTATCGTCTCTTCTCGAGCGTCGAGAATCCTATGCATTATCGTCTCGTCTCGAGCGTTAAAAACGTTAAAAATGTATGGAAATCACGATTTCTCGTTCTCGTGACTCCTCTCTCGTCTCGTATCGACTTAACGATAATTAAAAAAATACTGTCAAGTTTGGCCGCTAGATCCGAAAAGGTCTTATCTAACTGTTCTTGCCCCATCCTCCCCTACTAAAAGATTAAAAATGTTTTAAAAAAATTTGAGATGCAAAAGCAAAATGATTTTCGACTTGACGTGGAATGCCCCATTTATTTATGTGTAAAACCTCACATGTCAATATTTATAATTTAAACTTAAAAAAAATTTACAAAAATAGCCTTTTTTTAGCGCCTCCATAAAAGTGGGTAGACTCCTTAAATGTATGTAAGGAGTACTGAACAATTTTCTATTTTTTGAGTTGAGTTAAGGAAATACTTCTAATAAAATTTTTTATTTTATAAGAGAATTATAATTATAATTGATAATAGACTAATGTCTATTAACTATTAAATATCTATTGATATATAAAAAATAAACTACACGCAAAGTATTTTATAATAAGGTAGTTTATAATAAAAATAAAATTAATTTTGTTATATTATCAACATTTAAATTCCATATGGGCACTTGCAAGAGAAATTTTTTAGTTCACCTTTTAAAATCGGCCAAATCCTATATTTTTCATTTCTATATTGAAAAAAAAGATACGTTTTTTTTTCTTTTGAGGGGACAAATTTGTGAGTTATGAACTTTCAAAATGTTCGTTTTTTGAATCTAGACCTAGTTTTAATATAATGTCAAATAAATCGAAAAATGTTGTTTCTTTTCAATTTTTAACAAGAGAAGAATTAAGTTTTTTCAACTTTGGATATGATAAAGAAAATTTAGAGCACTTTATTAAATGCCAGTTTTTACTTTCTTTTTACTTTACCGGTAAACTATTAGTTATATGAAATGTAATAACAGGGATCACAGTGGCATTTCCACTTGAAAATAGGTAAAAAAGGGGATTTTTCAAAAGAAGAAAGGGGATTTTGAAAAACACGATAAAAATTATTTTGTTACAACATACAGGGTTTATTTTTTTAAACTTTTATTTTTCCTTCTATTTACAGCTTTTTGAATTAAATCTGACTTCTTTTGCTCCTTTTTTCTTAAATAATTTAAGAACAAATAGCCATTTTTTCTTTTTACGGTACATATAATATGGAGTTTTCTAAGGTTTGTTTTATTTTGCGCGCTATTTAAACATTTTACAAAAATAAAATCAGGGTGTCCAACAAGGATTGAGAAAAAGATTCCCTGACTTTTTACTTTCCTTATTTCTTCTTCGACTATAATATAGTTAATAAAATATAAGAAAAAAGTAATCTCATACTTAGAGGAAAAATCCTCTTCTAATATCCTCTTAATGTTTTCCTCTCAAAACAAAACTATTCGACTTGAATGTATATTATTTTTATTATTAATTAATTCATTGTTTTATTATTGACATTTGTCAAAAACATTGAATATTTAAAGGAAATAAATAAATAAAAACCAATTTAGTCTTGTTAGATTACAAAATTTTTAAATTCACAAAAAATTTTAACTTTCTTATTAAATTTATAAAAATGTCCCTGACTTTCCTGAACGCTGAACACCCTGTAAAATCTTTTAAAAAATTATTAAATCATAATTTTTACTTTTCAAAAAAAAATTTACTGAAAAAAGGGGAATAGGGGAGAAAATATTTGAATTAAGGGGATTTATTTTTTTTAAGGGGAAAAAATAGGGGGAAAAAAAGGGAATAGGGGAAAAAGGGGACGAACTGTGATCCCTGTAATAAAGTAAAAAAATGTCATTTAATAAAGTGCTTTTTTGTCCTACAGTGAGCGGTGCACAATGCCACGTGCCAGCGACCTGCACACGAAGTTTAATTATTTATTTAAATCCATCAAACTTATCAGGCCAACTCTAAAATTTTTGCAATGTCATTTAGTATTTTTACGTATGTTTAAAAAAATTTCTTTAATCATATCCAAAGTTAAAAAAAATTTATTTATTTATAAAAAATTGTTATTATTTTAATAGAAAATGAAAACAATTTTTTTGTAATATTATTCAAAAGTAGAGAAGAAAATGAAACTATTCTTTTCTTGTCAAAAATTAAAAAGAAACAATATTTCTCGAGTTATCTGACATAATAAATAGGTCTACATTCAAAAAAAGAAAATTTTGAAAATTTATAACTCAAATAACTTTTTGTATTCAATAAATATGTGTATAGAATTTAACAGTGTTTAATTTAAATTTGAAGAATTTAATCAAATTAGGGTAAACCAGACTGTAGTCGCCCACCCTACATTTACATTACGTATTCGAAGTGGCCGATTACTGTCGGATTCTTACTTGTTTATTTATTAATTTTTTTAACGAATAAAAATTTTTTTTCATAAACATGACTGGTTAAATAGTTTTGTGTGATTGTAAGGAACAACATCACATAAAAGAATTCGAAGAAAAATATGAATTGCACTTTTAAAACAGTGTTAATTAAAAAGATTGCTTTAGGTGGCCGACTACTGTCGGATTCTTACTTTTTTTTGTAAATTTTTTTAACGAATAGGAAATTTTTTTTTGTAAACATGATTGGTATACTAGTTTTGTGGGATCATTAGAATCAATCACACATGGAAGAACAGTATTCATTACAAAGATTTTCGTAAGTGGCCGACTACTGTTTGGTTTACCCTAAATAATTTTAACGGTGAACAGTTCAAGTGTAAAAAGTTTAAAAATAATAATTTTTATAATATATGTAGAATTTATCACTTGGTCAAATATATAAACAATATATTATGGAATATATCAATCAATCCAAGTCAGGTTAATAATAAAAACACATGTCTTATTTTAACGTTTCGACAGTCACAGCCGTCCTCTTCAGAAACGAAAAAAAGACGTCACGAACACTTATCAATTAATACTTATATTCGGACATCACTTATAAAAAAAAAAAATATTTATTTGATAAACGTGTGTAGAATTTAACATTGCAGGGTGTCCACATGTCAGCAAAGTCAGTAAAGGCAGGGAAATGTCAGGAAAAAAATTTTTGTCAGGAAAATTAAGAAAATTGATGATTTTTTCGACTAATTTTAAAAAATTGCGACTTTTTCGACTTTTCTTCCAAACGAAAAATAACTATAAAAAAATTTTTCAAAAATTGTTTGTGAATCATTTTTTAATATAATTAAATTTTTCAAATATTTATAGAATAAAAACCCTTTTGAGTAGTTGAACTTTTGTAAAATTTAATTGATTTCAAGTATTTATTTACAATTTTTGAAGAATTTTAATTGCAAATCTTGAAAATAATTGAAATATCAAAAATTTTAATGAGAAATCTTTAAAGGTAAATTTAAAAATGAAAATTAGCTTCTAATTTTTTAAAATTCAATATTTCCAGTATTTTCAATTACATATTTCCAAAAATTCAAATACATACAAAAATAATAACATTTTGTAATTCTTTTTAACATTTTGGAGAAAACATTCAAGTTCAAAATTTTTAATTAGAATTAAAAAAAAAATTAGTAAGTTTTTTAAATTATACAAAATTTAAAAAAAAATTCAATTATTTTCGAAAAATTACATTAAAATATTTTTAAAATCTATTTTTAAAATCTAATTATTAGAATTGTTTTATAATAATTTTTTAAGATTCAATTATCTTCGAACAATGTAAATAAAAATTTACTTTTTGGACTTATTAAAATTTTTGAGAAATCATGGTCCTGTTCATAATTAGAATTCTTCAAACATTTGATCAATTTATATTTTTCAAAAATTCAATTATTTTGAAAGATTTTATCAAATTTTAATTGTTTGGAACTATTTGAAAATTGAAAAACTATTATATTTATATAGGTAATTACAATTATTATAAAAAATTGAGTTTTTGTATTTAAATAATTGAATTCTAGAAGAACTTTTGGGAAATTATTTAAATTAATTGATTTAGAGATGAAGTTTAGTTGAAAATTGTAAAAAATAATTGATAATTTATTAATTGATTCATTTTTAGAAATGATTAAAATTCATAAATTTTACCCATTTTCCGTAAACATTCATATTTGCCTGTAAAAAGAATTTTGTCAGGGAAAGTAATTTTAATATCAGTAAATTGTCAGGGAAATTGATAAACTGAAACTTGTGGTCACCCTGCATTGAATAGTTTCTTGAGTAGTTTTAACTGTGTAGTATTTGAACTGCGCCGAAAAGATAAAGGGTGCAAGAAAGTTAATGCTTTTGTTTGAAAATAATAGTGTAAAAGCATGACAGTATATATAGCAGTAAAAATAAACGAATGTTTAGGTTAGAGTAGCAGGTCGAAGAATATAACTTTGAGAACTCCAGAGTTATTTTTAGTGAGAAATGAAATAGGCTAGAATAAAATGAAGGATATCGAAAGAAATTCGTCGATGGCATTCAGATGTTTCGTACTATTCGTAATTAAATTGATTGTGAGCGAACACAAATTGTTACTTACTGGACTGAAGGAGGTCGTAGGAAGAAATCGTAGCAATTGATATAGTCCAAGCTGTCGATCGGAAAAAGTTGCAATCTTGCAATCAGTCTTGATAGCAAATCAGATGGACATTAATTTTCGCAATAGGAGCAATGAATTTCAAGTAAAAAATTGAATTCCGATGACTAATGACGAAAAGTCGGAAAGTTAGCAGTTGAGTGGAGTGGTTCGGTCTTGTTGGATGTCTACCCACCCACGCACTGTCTAGTTAATTGGTATGGAAAAAAGTGCATCGTATTATGGAAACTGTGGACGAGGCGTCGAGATGAGGAGAGCTTTTTTACTACATGTCATAGACCGACGAAGGATTTCTTTGGCAGACAATGCAAAGTATTTAATTTTCTGGCAGCGATTACGGCAGTGGTTGACAGTAGCACTTGAGGAATCGAAAATAGTCGGTTAAGCCGACACATGTGTTTAGTTGCAGTGGTAAAATACTTGCGGGATTTTTCTTCAGTTCGCTATGAGATTAAAAACCGTATGTCCATCCTTGAATTTCATGTAATTTTCGTGCACTCGCGGCAAAAAAAACAACGATTTCCGTCCCTCAGTTAGCTATCACAGTTTGTCATTTCTCATCGCAATCCAGATTGGTGGTGGTAGTAAGACATCGACATCAAAAACATGGATGTTGTTGTTGTTTTGGCTACAGTACCTACTTTCAGTTATATTTTATTTAGGGATATAGGGGAAATCACCATTTGGCAAAACGGATATCGACTAAAGGCCTAAGGGTGGAGTCCCATGACAACGTTTTGCGTTGCGTTGTAATGGGAGAGAAAAAGACGTAAATCTCTCATGGTAACGTACAAGAGTAAGAGAGTCAGTGACTTCAAACTTCTCCCTTACTCTCGTTGCTCCTGCCTGCGCAGGCAGGCAGCTTGCAGAGGTGTAACCGCAGCCTAAGGCTGGAGTCCCATGACAGCGTTTTGTAACTAGGCCATGAGTGTGAGACAGATACAGATATATGTTTGCTCTATTTGCACTCATTGCCTATAGTTACAAAACGCAACGCAAAACGCTGTCATGGGACTCCAGCCTAACGCAGAATAGATCTGTAACCGCAATCGTAAGCGTTACCGTAAGAATGAGTTAGAGAAGGATAAACAATATACCTATCCTTCTTTAACTCATTCTTACGGTAACGCTTACGATTGCGGTTCCGGTTACAGATCTATTCTGCGTTGGCCTTTACGATACCCAAGGACTGTCGCTTTAAGCTGCAGTTACACCTCTGCAGACACAAGAACGAGCGTTGCACGAGACGTGTCAGCTTAAAGTCGCTTCTCCAATGGGCACGACGGACATAGACGTGGAACGTTGACGTGCTGACGTCACAATGCTATTCAAATGGGTGACGTCAGCACGGCACGTTAGACGTCCACGTCTGACGTGCCCATTGGAGAAGCGACTTTAAGGCGAGAACAGAATAGCCTACGTGAACGTGTAACGTGCTGACGTCACAATGTTAAGTCGGTTCTACAATGGGCACGTCGGACGTGGACGTCTGACGTGCCGTGCTGACGTCACCCATTTGAATAGCATGGGTGACGTCAGCACGGCACGTCAGACGACCACGTCCGACGTGCCCATTGTAGAACCGACTTAACATTGTGACGTCAGCACGTTACACGTTCACGTAGGCTATTCTGTTCTCGCCTTAAAGCTGCTTCTTAAGGCCTAAGCACAATAGATTCGCGAAAGTCGTTCGCGAACGCAAAGCATGAGTTAGAAAAGGACAGAGATATATTTGTGTCCTTGTCTATCTCATGCGTCTCGTTCGCGAACGACTTTCGCGAACCTATTGTGCGTTGGAGGATGTACAATTATATGAGAGGGAGACTATAACTATAGTTCTAGGTAAAAGGTGCAGATGTCGCCGTCATAGAAGCTAAACAAATTTGCGTTTAAGCGCATGCGTTTACTTTGAATTTTAAAACATGATTTTTTATTTTCAGGATTATAATACCAAAGATTTACCTGTGATATTTTTAATAACTTATTGCTTTTTATAAAGTACAAGCTTTTTTAATTAAAAGCTACATATTTAATTTAAGAAAAATTTAAAGATTTGGCTGTGATATTTTTCACAACTTATTAGTTTTTATAAAATACAAGCTTTTTATTAAAAGCTACATATTTACAACAATTTCTATAAATATATACATTGCCTTTGTGGATATTAAAAAAGTAAAATTATTCAATTTTTGATCTTTAAAATGATTTTAAACCTATTATTGTACATTAATGTTGACTTTTTTTTAAATATTTTGTATATATGTAATATACATTTGTTATCCAGACACCACTATGTTTAAAAAACTGTATCAATTTAATATGGGTAACTTACATTATTCATTTGTATATTAACACAATTTAAATGACTGTGCAATTTACTGTTTTTTCGAATTAAGCAAAAATAAAAAGATTATTTGGACACAAAAACATTGTTATACTTTATAAAGGTAAAAGAAGCAGAATCAATTATTATTAATTCATCAGAATAAAAAATCATGTTTTAAAATTCAAAGTAAACGCATGCGCTTAACCGCAAATTTGTTTAGCTGTAAAGGCGCTAGCACAGCTCCTACTGCCTGCCTGCCTGCCTGCAGGTTGACATGGTAACACATAGGAGTAAGAGAGTAAGAAAATTCAAATTAAATGTTTTTTCTCTCTCACTCTTATGGCGCCTGCCTGTGCAGGCAGGCAGGCAGTGAGGTGAGAGTGTACCTTTACGAGCACATATGGGTTTTAATACGCAAACTCAAGTGCTCTGATATGATTCGTTGAGTTCAACTTTGGCTAAATCCTTAAGAGGAACCGGGAATTACAAATAATAAAAACAATAATATTCCGTTAAAACGGAGGGAAAAACCTTACAACAAGAAAGAATCAATCAATAATTAATAAAATTAATTATTGATGGATATCAGACTTCTTGTGAGTAAACCCGATAAATTTATTAAATCAAAGTTCAATAATACAAAATCGACTAAGGAAACTTAGAAGCAACCTTTCTAGTCAAACGTCAACTAAAATCTAACTTGTAGTTATAGTCAATTGGAGTTGGTCTCCGCTGTTAGTCCAGGTTGGGGGAAATGCGCATGTTCAAAGTGACGCGTATCCCCCACTATACACTTTATGCACTTCACCAATACTAATACTGTTTCATACGTCACACCTGTCGGTGTTGATACACACACATTCGTCATAGCTTTATTATTCCTATCCTTATCATATTATAGTTATTTTAATTATTCAGTTTATATACAATTAATAAACTAATAGTAATATTTACATTTATAATAAGTATATTTACTCTTGTATTCGATGCTCACATACGTGTTACAACTATAATAAATATTATATAAATAAATTATACAATGCTGATGATCATGATAGTTATAACAAATTCATTGTTTAACTATAACTCTTAAAGGTAATTTATTTACAAGTGTTAATTCACTACTAGTAATATTATAATAGTTGATTAAATTTTAGATTGATAGAAATAATGAAATATAGAAATTACGATTATTTATAAAAAGTAGTTGAGCGATTAACAATTCTAAAAAGTAATGAAAACTGGGTTTTTCCAGTACGTGACAATTTTGAAGTTAAAAGGATAGAAAGTTTTTAGGTGTACCATTTCGGTAGTATTACCTGAACAAAGGATCTGGTCTATAAAAGTAAGCTGTTCTAATTTTATGACTTCTTAAAGGAGTATACTTTTTGGGTATTTTTCAATTGTACCTATAGTGTTAGAAAAACATATTGGTTTGGAAGGAAATCGAAGAGTTTAGATTTTATTAAAACATCTGTTTCTTAATCCAGATTATCTTTATGATGTTTTAGAAATATTTTGAGTTTCTTAAAGTACAATTACTCATTCTTTGGAATGTTTAAAATAACATCCGCTAAAACATGAAAATGTGTTTAGGTACTTTATTATACTATATTCTTTAGTCGTTCTCAGTCTCAGGTTTATATTTCGAAATATGTATTTTATACTTTTGTTTTAATAAATTTAATTAAGCCGCGACTTAAAAATCGCGATTCGATTAATCTCGAAATGTGATTCGAGCGAGATAGTAGTCGCTCGTCACATAGCTTCTATGACAGCGACATCTGCACCTTTTACCTAGAACTATAGTTATAGTCTCCCTTTATTTAGTGGAAGTGCCCCCACAGTGCCTGTTTCTGCTAATGTCGTTTTAGCTTGTGAAACATAGGAACACGTTCGATGGTCATAGAGATATTATAAATAGAGTGGGGAAGGTATAGGCGGCAGCGTGTGGGGGAAGTGTCCTGCCATAAACAGAATGGGTTGGAGGGAGAAAGAAGATTTAACACCAGTATCTGTCCTTCAGGGTGCGATCCCATGTGAGCAGAATACGTCGACCGAAAGCAGAAAATCATGAGTGCAAAAGAGTGTCATGCATAAAGCATAATAAATTCGTCAGATTATTAAATATAAATTATACACTGAAAAAATGTTGAGTACCGTGCAATCCCAATCGTCGGAAAGTGGGGGAACTATAGTTTGGATGTGCTACGTTCTCAATTCGGGAAATCTACGTTCGCATGTCGGTGGCGCTGAACACCCAAGATTTGAGACTCAAAACCTTGGGGCATTCGTACATTTTCGGTCTACTTGAAACGGCACGTCACCCAAGATTTTTTCCGTGTATACAATGAATCGACCAAACCAAAAAGGACAACAGATTTCCTGGAAAGAATTAGGGTTTGAACGTCAAAAAACAGAATAAAAAGGAAAGTCTATTTTGAAATGCTTGTTTTCAAAATATGAATTATTATTTTATAATTCATGATTCTTTAAATGTTTAAAAGCGCATGATGAAGATGATTTTGACAGGTTTATGACGGGACAGTATATTGTATAGGTTATGTTTACGAATTCTATTTGTACCACTTGTACAAAAATTTAGATAAATAAGTAATAAATAAATAACTCAATCATAATTTGTATATTCAAAATACATTTATTTATATAACAACATATAATCTTCATTCAAATTTACCTGTAGGTTCTTAACCTCTCTTCGGATGTATTAGAGAAGGTTTGTTTGCATCCTTGATAAAAATCTACACTTTTCCCATTTTCCTTTTGTGATATAAATGATAGTTTTTTCTAAAAGTTTTGACGCGGCCTTGCACCTTTAACCATTTTTTAAATGCAACTTGTTGGGACACAGAATCAAGAAGACTATATACAGGAGAGCAAACTTCGTTCCAATAAGGTAGTTCAAGTTGGGTGGGGGAAATCCAATATGTCTGCCATCAGCTGATTTACCGGAGGACAAACAATGCATTGAATCCAATGGGACAAATCAGTTTTTTAACCATAACTTTTTAAATATTCATTTTTGAACCATAGTGTAATGGAAAATTATTCTTTATTTATCGAAATCTATTTTTTAAAACAATAAAACCAAAAAATTAAATTTTATTGTTTTAAAAAATAGATTTTGATAAATAAAGAATAATTTTCCATTACACTATGGTTCAAAAATGAATATTTAAAAAGTTATGGTTAAAAAACTGGTTTGTCCCATTGAATTCAATGCATTGTTTGTCCTCCGGTAAATCAGCTGATGTCAGCCATATTGGATTTCTCCCACCCAACTTGAACTACCTTATTGTATAGAGAGTTACGGGCTGTTTTACGGGAACAAGGATGGCGTGGAGTGAGTTGCGCCAGAAATGAATTTTGGGTTCTGCACATACTAATGACATATATCAGCTGATGTAGCAGACAGCTTGCGTGCGCAGAGCCCAAATTCACTTTTGGCGCAACTCATTTCACGCAAACCCTGTTCCCGTAAAACGGCCCCACCACAAACCTATAGTTGCTTCTCCTGTATATAGTCTTCTTGCACAGAATCAAGAAATAGTCAACGGCAATCATGTCAACAATTCAGCCATTTTGAAAAAGTAAATAACGTATAAAACTGAGCACGTAAATTACTGACGTAATATACTGTAAAAAACTATGTAATTTACGTCAGGTAAATTACGTATGCAACCCTGGTTATAAATAATACCTAAAAAATATTTTATTACATTAAAATTGTCAATTTAAATTAATTTCGTTCATTTTTATTTCTTATTTTAAATTTTTTATTTAGTAACAATCACTTTATCGAACCAATGAACCAGCGAACCATCGAACGTGTTCCCATGTTTCACACAAGCTAAAACGACATTAGCAGAAACAGGTTTCCTCTCTTTGCCTCGTGGCGCGTAGGCGCTTCCGTAGCTTCTACAACAACTTTTTTTTCATCGACACGAACAAGATGCACTGTGAGGCTGCGGTTACACCTGTGCAGGCTGCCTGCCTGCGCAGGCAGGAGCAACGAGAGTAAGGGAGAAGTTTGAAGTCACTGACTCTCTTACTCTTGTACGTTACCATGACAACCTGCAGGCAGGCAGGCTGCCTGCAGAGGTGTAACCGCAGCCTTAAAACTATGCAAAATAGTTGCGCGCGCATCGTTTTCACGCTCATGTCGATGAAAAAAAAGTTGTTGTAGAAGCAGCTTAAGGGTACAGTCACACGATCTCATGCAAAACTTATGCATGTAGGTTGCCATGGTAGCGTTCAAGAGTGAGAGAGATAGGAAATTAATTCTATCTCTCTCACTCTTGAACGCTACTATGGCAACCTGCATGCATAAGTTTTGCATGAGAAGGTCTGAACGCTCCCTACAGCCTTTCTCCAATGGGTTCCCAAAACTCTGCGTTTGTCTGCGAATGACTGCGTAGCGTTGATTTTGTGCCCTTTCTCCAATATGTTCCTAAAACTCTGCGTCTGCGTCGGTTGCTATAGCAACACATGCTAAAATCAACGCAACGCAGTCATTCGCAGACAAACGCAGAGTTTTGGGAACTTATTGAGGCCTTTCTCCAATAAGGCCTTTCTCCAATAGGTTTTAAAAAGTGTGCGAATGACTGCGTTGCGTTGATTTTAGCATGTGTTGCTATAGCAACCGACGCAGACGCAGTCATTCGCACGCTTTTTAAAACCTATTGGAGAAAGGCCTTTACATGCTTGCGTTCGAACGCTGCGTCTCGTCCAAGCACTCACCAAAAAATTTGGCAGTGTGTATGCGCCTTCAGGTTACGATCATTCCGCGACTTTCGGAAAAGCAATTCACGTCTTTCTCTCTCCTATGACAGTGGCATAAGTTTGTCTCACTTTACATTTTCCGTTTTTGGAAATGTAAGAAAATATGGGGTGTTTTCGACGTCGTTGGTCGTACCGGTCAGTTGCCACAAAAAGGTGCTTATTTGAGACTATTTAGGTTAAACCGGTTAAACTAAATAGTCTCAAATAAACAGTTTGAGCACCTTTATGTGGCAACTGACCGGTACGACCGACGACGTCGAAAACACCCCATGGAGTGAGACAAACTTAGGCTGAGGCCGCAGTCCCATGGCAGCGTTTTGCGTTGCGTCGTAATGGGAGAGAAAAAGACGCAAATATACGTTTGCTGCATTCTCTCCCATTACGACGCAACGCAAAACGCTGTCATGGGACTCCAGCCTGAAGTCCCATGACAGCGTTTTGCGTTGCGTTTTGTAACTAGGCAATGAGTGTGAGAGAGATACAGATATATGTTTGCTCTATTTGCACTCATAGCCTAGTTACAAAACGCAAAACGCTACCATGGGACTCCAGCCTTAAGCCACTAAGAATTCTCTTGATTTCCATTGATTACGAGTTCCTATTGGCTAAACTTGAAATCGGTTCTACAATGAGCACGGTCGTTCACGATAGTATCGTGAACGACCGTGCTCATTGTAGAACCGACTTGATATAGATATAGAAAAGGACTGAGATATATTTGTGCACTTTTCCTTCTCATACTTGTCGTTCACGAAGAAAAACTTTTCCAAGCATACTTTGCGTTGGCCTTTATGCTGTTAGCTCTATACGAAACACACTGAAACAGGCATTCTGTTTGGTGAAAATTGTCAGAGTTGATAGGGAACAACCAATCAGAGTTTGATTTATAAATTTGCCCTTCTCCAGTCATACGACACTCTTGTCCGTCATCACATGACCCTCTTCGTAATTGTATGTTCGAGCCATACTTAGCAGAGGCACGAGACGTATTAGTTTAGTAAAGTGAAGACGGTATAGAACCATTTCAAGTCTCACTAGTTAACAGTTCTTTGTAAATAATTCTTTTTTATCTCTTATTAATCATTCAAATCGTTTGACACGAATCCATTACAATATTCACAATGAGTTTAGAAGAAGGAAACCCCATTTATGGACCCTTTTTCGGAGTCATGGGCGCTGCCTCTGCCATCATATTTTCTGGTGAGTTTTATTTATTCTTTGTATTTTATTTCACTATTGAATTTCATTCCTTCGCCAAATCTATGTTACCACCGGAACTTTTTCTATGAAACACCAATTTTTGCTTTTTTGTTATCTGAAAAATTATGTCTCGTCTTTAATCAAGTTGCATATATCGATTTCTTGTAATTTTATCTCGAGTACGATATGTTAAAATTTCACCTTAAGGGTATGTCAAAGTCGATGCGGTTTTCCCATTAAAGCGCAATGTAAAAATTCAATCAATCCTCCTTAAAAATTGCTAAATTTTATAGCATAGGAAAATTTATGATTACAAAATACAAGGCCACCGTGTCCCGTGCTCGAGTCTCGTGACACTAGGCTGATACTACTCTCCTTTCAGTTTTTCGTCTTTTAACATTTTTTTCAATTAAATCTCACTTGACTAATGAAACATTTTAAATGAATTGAAATTATTTTACGAATTTAAAAGTTTTATCAAAAGGAAAAGTAACTTTTCTTTAATTTCTTTTAAAAATATACGAAAGTAGAATCGAACTTCTTAGGTGTGCCCGGGTTAATTCTTTATCAATCGACCGTCGAAATATTAGCGGGTATGATCGTGCGAATAAGATAGTATTAAGTAGAACATTTTAGATATATATATATTATGTTAGAGCGGTAAATTATATAGGTATATTCGTACGTATGTACAAAAGAAGCATGTCGATACAGAATCAGAGGTAAGTGGTTTTATAAAGTTTAATAAAATGGTGACTACAATTTAAAAAATCTCATATGTAAGACCATAAGTGGAAGTGTGCGATATAGTTAGTGATCACCATCATCATCTATAAGTTATCTTGTATTTTTTGACAGTTGATTTGCGCCATGTGATTGTCCATGACGTCAGTATGTCACGTGCTCTGCATGTAAAATTTTTACAGTCATTTTTACCTCAAAATACATGTTCTATTCAACTTAAAATTTATCAAAATCATGGCATTTTGATCAAATTTAGCCATTTGAACAAAATTTTTTCTCAACTTGAAAAGTATTTCTTGAGAAAAATTGGTGAGATTTTTTATTTACAGGGCACGTGATCCGGCTACGTAACATACAATCACATGACCTTAAAATTCTCTAAGCGGATTTCAAAAAATAGGGCGTAAACAAAGTTTTATTAACTTTTTTCAATTAAATGCAATAATGATGGAAATAATTTTCATTTCATTTCTAACAAAATATGAAGGAAATAAATAAATTAAAATTCGATTTTTTTCACAAAATTTTTTCTTTTTTTCCTAAAAGGTTTATGCCAAAAAGTTGTGTTAAACATGTGATTTATATTTCAATATTAAAAATGTAAATAAAAAATTACGTAATGATCTTCCAAGTGTAGTTTTTTATTTTTAAAGCACGCATTAATACTTCTTTTCTCCTATTAAAATCTGTTAATAGTAGCATATTTATAACATTATGCATAATTAAAGAAAGGCTTAGTATAAGTCAGAGAAATTTTAAAATAATTAGAAACAAGTTGTAAATCCAGATGTTCATTACATGAACATTTTGCTTCCTCTTTATGATCAGCAAAAAAAATTTGCTTTCTCGTGGAGGAAGCGTTAACGATAAGTCTATTTCATTTTTAAATCATTTTTAATACAATTTAACATTTATAAGATAAAGTTCATTCGTCTTAATAGAAAGAATAAAATTCTCTTATACAGTAATATGAATGTAAATAAACAAAAAAATTTTTAGTAAAAAAGTGAATTTTTCAACTTTAATTGTAATTAATTCTATAATTTTCTGAGAATTTTTTAAAGTCTATCAATCCATTTCGAGATATTTTTATGATAAATATACCTGGCAAATTTTAGCCAAATTCGTTAAAACCTCTTCGAGTTATCGTGTTCACAAAAATCGTGATCCACACACACACACACACACATCCGGACAATTGTTCAGGGTCTTATATAACATAGTCCCATATAGAAGAAAATTTGTTAAAAATAAATATAAGTTAAATTATATAAATAGTAACAGTGATAATATATCAATTAGATGTATAATTTTTTTCATTTCAAAAAATAAATGTGAAATTTATTAATTAAAGTGAGTCATAAATAATGAATTTTAAATTTTTTGTCATTTTTCCAGTTAAATTATAAATCTTCTTTTATTTAGTCTAAATATTTTAAATTAGTATAATTGATTTTTTCTAAATTTATTTTATTATCATTCATGGAAAATCCAATGTGACATTTTTTTAATAAATTGACTTTTCAACTTTTGGACGCTTACTCCTTAATTCAATTGATATTGATAAAGATAATAAAATGTACATAGGAAATAAAAATATTTATTAGGGGAGAGTCTCCAGTTGTGAGACGGGTTTTATTTTTGACCCGTAAATTGTAAACGGGTAAACGAAATTGTAAATAAAATACACCGTTCGAAAGGTAACAGAAATACGCAACTTTTATTAAAAGAAAGTATAGTGTTCGATGAACTCAAAAAATTTTCCGAGCACATCGCTTTTTTCAAAAAAAAAAACTGTCTCCAGTTGTGAGACACTCATTAAAAATTGCTAAAATTTAATAAGTTTGACATAAAACGTTATGTTTAGTAGAAATAATTAAATATATTAATAATATATATTATTATATACTAAATAATAATATTTATTTGCCAAAATATGACTATCAAATAAACACAATTTAATAGCTTCAACAAGAGCATTAAAATTGATTTCTTCTGAATCAATTGACTTTTTTCCACTTGACATGCCCAAATACTAGAAAAAAAATCAAAACAACATTTAAATAGTATGCCTGCAAAGTCGTATTGTTTATGCTGCCCAGATGGGTGTTGACACCGTCTCACAACTGGTGATATGCTGTGTCTCACACCCAGAAATTGGTGCTATTTTGAAAAAGGAAAATTAAATTATTTTCAACCGTAGATTGGAACAATGCAATATTGCATCACAAAATATAAGGAAAACACTAAACGAAAATCCATTACATTTACCTTTTCCAATTAATTAACTAGGAAAAAAAGTACTTTGCATTTATTGAAAAAACGCTTTTTAGTCGATTATCACACAGTGATGGTATTTAACAATAACAGTTTATATATCCGCTTCGGCGTACACGAAAAAGTTGGCTCATATAAAAAGAAATGTTTTTATATAAACCAATCGGCTTTTTAATATTGCATGTTAAAAAAAATTGACTGTCTCACAACTGGAGGTGTCTCACAACTGGAGACTCTCCCCTACATATTTTATTATGAACAACTATTATTTATTAGTGTAGGATCTTGAGCGCGCTAACAAAAAAGTTCATAATTATTAAAATTTTTGCTTGAAACAGTTTTTTCTTTTTGACCCAGGTGTGATTTTTTGGTCGGCCCATAGTTGGGCCAACTTTTACAAAGTCGGTACAACTTCTCGTGCCAGAGGTTGGGCCAACCATACAGATGATAACGGTTCGCCGTCTAATGGCGACGATGGTTGGCCCGACAACTCATAAGGAAGTTGGCCCAACTTACAATGCATATGTTGTGCCAACTATACATTTCAATGCACGGAGAGAAAAAAAAGTGAGCCGTTTGATTTGGCAAGAGAGCGCTGTTTTCCCTTTATAAAGCGCAGCAGTTGCGCCGCAAACGTCGAACGGTTATACTTTTTGAGGAGTATCGGTTCTCTTCTCCACACAAATAGAGCCGCTTACTTTCCAAAAAGTGTACCCGCTTTTCCCAAAAAGGAGAACCGTTCTCCCCTCGAGAGTAAGCAGCGTGCTTAACCTCAAGTTGAACGGCTGTTTCGCATTTAACGCAACCGCTCTACCGACAGGTAGAGCCGCTTACTTTTTTTTCTCTCCGTGTGGTTGGTCCAAAGACTGACGCCAAAGTTTGCACAACTTTAGATGCGTAAGTTGGGCCAACCACAATTTTCAAAGTTTGGTCAACTTCAACAGCCAAAGGTAAAAAATTATTAAAAAACTAAATTATTTAAACAATTAACAGGTTATTATTAGCGGGAACGTCAGATATAACCTTTACCTATTATTATTAAACACAATCTCATACATACATTTTCGAAAATATCTAACGCTCGCTGGGATCGAACCCCTAACATAACGCACCGAAGACTTATACACTGACCACTACGCTACGCTTACATGGGAGTACATAACGCAAAATGTATATTAAAGCTGCAACAGTCGGGCCAACCGTGGCCCAGAGTTCGGCCAACCAAGAAAGTTTAAGTCATTTAAACTGCATTTGACAAAGTTTTGCCAACCGTTGGGCCAACCGTTGCCCAGAGTTCGGCCGACCAAAATAGTGTAAGTCAATTAAACTGCGTTTCACATAGTTTTGCCAACCGTCGGGCCAACCGTGGCCCAGAGTTCGGCCGACCAAGAAAGTTTAAGTCATTTAAACTGCATTTGACAAAGTTTTGCCAACCGTCGGGCCAACCGTGGCCCAGAGTTTGGCCGACCAAAATAATGTAAGTCAATTAAACTGCGTTTCACAAAGTTTTGCCAACCGTCGGGCCAACCGTGGCCCAGAGTTTGGCCGACCAAACAACTATAAGTCAATTATACTGCTTTTCTTGAGTTTTGCCAACCGTCGGGCCAGAGTTCGGCCAACCGAAACTGAAAGTCTTTTGAACGACGTTTTGATGAGTTGTGCCAACCTTTGTCGCCAAAGTTGGCCCGACGGTTGGTTAAACTCTGCATTTAATGGTTGGCTTGCAAATTCGGGCCAACTGTGGGCACTTGTACTTGCCAAAGTTGGGCAAACTCTGGCAACCAAAACTTCGCTTGCCAAAGTTAGGCCAACCTTGGGCCAACCTTCAAACTCTAGCGGCCAACCTAAATTCGCACCTGGGGATATTCAATTTTTAATAAATACATATTCGTTAAGGTATTTGTCGCGTAAATTCGTTTTCGACAGAATTTTTTTAAATTTCACATAATTATTCTTTGGATATTTATCTACAAAATAAGGCCTATTAAAATAAAATTGACCGTCTGTAAGTCTCAAAAAATGAAATCAAAGTTTCGATTTTTAACATGTACGGTATAGGAAAACCATATGAAAACCACAGATTTTTAATTTTTGCACTTATACTAATCGACAGATTTTTTAGAAAAACTAAAGTTTTATTTATTGAACCAAAATGAACTTTTATAAAAAAAATGAAAATTTTTCACCGTCTTGTTTAAAAGATATTTAACATCAAACTTGAAAAATTATTTTAACATTTACTGTAAATGACAGGTGAATTTGTAAACGTGGCAATAGCGCTTGTTAAATACTACAGCTTGTCTGCTACTTTTGGCGCGAAATTTTAAAGACGGCCATACGCCAAACTTGCGACGTTGCCACGATCGTTTTTGCATGCGAGAGGTTATGAATATACTTTGAGAACATCTGTGTGTCAAACTGTACGTCGGCAAAAGTTTTTCGGAAACTCGCATTCATAATCGTTTCATAAGTACAGTCAACGGATACAAACTTTTGACAGTGACCAGTCGCGCGACAAATACCTCAAGTTCTTGTTTATAAAATTAAATATTTTCATCCAGAACATGTTTATTTATTCAAATAAACAATTATTTTTTATGACAAGTAAAGATTTTCTAACGTGTAAAAGTTATTTTGATAAATTTGGAATTTCAGGATTAATTTGCAAAAAGAATCGTCAATTCTTGTCAAGGTTATGCAATTTTGAAAATTGTACACAGAGAGAACTGTGTTACGAATTATGGACAAGACATGTTGGTTCGCTTTTCGCATAGACGTCTGTACCTAATTTTGCAAAGGCCGGTGCTAACTTTGCCCAGCTTGTGCCTTGTGCCCACTTGTGCCACAGTTGCTCAAATCCATGAAAAATCAGCATGGATTTCTTGCAACTTACGCATGGTGGTGTGTATGCGTTTTTAGTACGTCCTACTCATGCGCTAAAAGCAACAGATTTCTCTCCGTGTAGATATAATTTTAATTATTTGTTTATTTTAAAGTTAAATTTATAAATAAATTTTTTTAAATTAAGGCCATTTATTGAACCATTATGACGTCACAGTTTGTGTAAAGCATGTTTTCTAAAACTGTGACTTCATAATGGTTCGAATACTCTTAAAGTATTAAAAAATAAAGAAACTTATTAATTACTAAAATTAATTTAATGTTAATTACAAATAAAAATCTTCAAAATATACATATAGGTTTTAATAAGTAAAGTCAGTGAAATTGAGACGTTATATGCATTTCTTACATATACATTTTTATAAGTTTTTATTCATTTCTCTTAAATTTTCATGACTTCCTGTAAAAGAAGTTTTGTCAGGGAAATTCGTTGTTATGTCAGTAAAATGTCAGGGAAATTGATAAAGTCAATCTTGCGGCCACCCTGGTCAATACTTGGGTGCCCAGCGCCATCAACATAAAAACGTACTTTTCTGAATGAAGATCGTAACGAGAGTTACTCAACTTTCGGACGTCGCCAGGGAATCAAGATTTTTTCAGTACATTACCTTTGTATCATGAAAAAACGATATTTGTCTCTATTAATTTGCTTAGATGTCCCTTCCATTTAAAAAGTAATTAACAACCGTGATGAAGGATAAGAAAATTAGAAAAGTATAATTAAATAACAACTTCAGAAAGACCGGAGTATTAAAAGCATTTTAAATTAGAAGTACTTAGGAATGCTTGATTTGATCGGCAATTATTTTAAAGACAGGCAGAGTAAATTGCTTCTTGAAACTTTCATTGTCTAGTTAGTTGCTTCTAAATATGTTACGAAGTCATTAATCAAAATTTCCCTTCTAAATATTATCTATAATTATTTTTTATCGTTATTTAAAAATAATTCACAAAACTATAGAGAAGTAAACATTAGTTTACGCAATTTTAATTTATTTTAATGTTATCTAAATCTAAACAGCAATTTTATATCACACTGAGAGACCTTTTGGACTGTAGCGGAACAACGTATGTGATAGCAGCTCCACTATGGTTTTGGTGCGCTGCGATACAATTTTGGGCGCGTGACTGTCCAAAATGTTGGTATGCAGCTCTCCGAAGTAGTGGGGATGCCGCCATTGGTTTGCAGCTAAACAACTTTTGGACTGTCACGCGCCCAAGATTTTACCGCAGCAACCCAAAAGTATAGTCCTGTAGCGTACCACCAAAATGGTCAGTAGCAGCCTATCGGAAAGTCTACTGCTGACCCAAAGGTCTCTCAGTGCACCCATATGCAAAAAATTCAAGAGCAGTTGATTTCACTTTTAATAACAGTTAACTATATTTAAGATGCTTAACTACACTGGAATTCCCAAGAGAGTCACTCGCAGAGTCTTATGTGACTCTCTTGGAGAGTAACCTTGACCTTTCGAAAATGTATTTTTACTTATTTTTACTTATATTAAAAAAGTTATTTATTAAATTGTTTATTTACGATAAGTGGGCTAACAAGAAAAAAAATTTTCTTGCTTAAAATATTTACAAACTTATTAATATGCCAATGAAAAGCAAAGAGTAGAACTGAAGATCAAAATTTGTTGTATAATATATTATATTTGATCACTTCTTCAAGTCCACGAAGTATAACCTTAATTTCTTATGAAGAAAATAAAAGTTAAAATTATTTTGTTAATAACTGTTTGCGTTATCAAATTATCAATAAATTGCTATTGTTTAATTGTTTAAAGCTTAAATTTTCTTATAAATTCTAATTGACAGATAAGCTTTAAATAAAGAGAATGAGACAAGAAAATTGATTTTCATTCGGCTGAAATTGTAGAAATTGTCCCGCATGATTTTTCTCTAAATTATATTTGACGGAATAGTTATTTTTTGACATAAAATTATTTATAGTGAGTTCTCGCCAGTCGTTCAATTCTCTAAAATTTTCGAAACTATAAAACTCACGAGTCGTTGGGACACTGATCGCGTTGAACGACTCGCGACTTTAAACGATTTGGCATAATTTTTATTTGACATTTTTGTTACATAAATTGTCTTGTAAACTTCCTATCTTTAAAAAGTAATGGCAAGCGCTATCTTCTCCATTTTGTCGACTGGTAGAAACTATAATAATAAGCACATCATTACTTTAGGAATGAGAAGTTTGCAAAAAGTTTATGTAAACAAAATTTTATGTCAAGTGAACTTTACATTTAAAGAATTTCATGTCGATTGACGTTTATGTCAAATTCATTTTTCTTCAAATTAATTTTATGTTAAATGATTTTTTGCTAAATAATTATTATGAAAAATAAGATTTGGGGAATATTCATGCGGATCTAACAATTCAATTTAAAGTAAACGATGTTTTTAGTTGACAAATGCATTTGATCATAAACTGTTTATTCCATTTGGTCCACCTTTGTCACACTTATATAAAGGGCCACAAAAGGTATATTTTTCAGAAATATCAAAAGTCATTTTTTCAGTACCACACAGAGAGAAAAAAAGAGACTTGCCTGATTTGGCATGATAGCTCTGTTTTCTCCATATAAAAATCAGCTATCGGCAGGTAAAGCAGTTCTTTTTCTTTTCTCTCCGTGCATCTGTAACAATACTGACAACAAAGCATGAGAACAATACTCTCCAAATTGGTTGATTGTTATTTATATTATTATTATTTTTTTGTATCTCTGCCACAAATTGCTAATAATGAGTTTGAGAAACTTGTTACACACCTAGAAGCTAAAGAAATACTTGCTTCTCTTCATAATCCTGAAAGTTGTTTAATTTCGTTTTGTCCAGACGTTATACATATGCAAGTTTCTAAATAAAAAATATCTTATCTTTTCTAAAGCTTTGGGAGCTGCATATGGCACAGCAAAGTCAGGAACCGGTATTGCAGCCATGTCTGTAATGAGACCGGAACTTATTATGAAGTCCATCATTCCTGTTGTCATGGCGGGTATTATTGCCATCTACGGTCTGGTCGTAGCGGTTCTCATTGCGGGAAGCCTTGAAGCACCTAGTAATTATACTCTTTACAAGTAAGTACATATTTTTTACGTATTATTCATTCATTATACACTGAAAGAAATTTTTAGCTGAAATACTACTGAAAGAGAGCACGTATGTTCTCTTATCAAACGAAGTTTATCTTAACACTGAGGTAGGTTTAGCACAGCATCTGAACTCTGACGTACAACAATCGCGCGAAATGAGGGTCAGATATTGTTCCTTGACTTTATTCAGGTGCTGAGCTAAAATCGAACGGCATCTGTGCTAAAAGTTCAGTATCTGTACCCCAGAGTGCAAAGACTGTACCACAGCGGGACAGAATCGGAAACTTGCGCAATACAGAATCAGTGTGATCTAATCTTCAATTGTAAGAGTCTAATACCGAAAAAGCGAAAATCATCTGCAATCGTAGTATTGCAGATTTGGTGATTTTCGTATAAAGTTCACGTGGCATTGTTGTGACTGAAGTATCCCTGTAATAAGGGACGAATTTAAGTGGATTGGTACTTTTATGCCCTTTAATTCCAAACTAATCCCGTTTTCATGCGCAATCGTAATGAATTCCTTTTACTGTTATTAAGTTGTTCGCTTCTATCCAATTCAATTCTCTATAACCACGAGACCAGAGAAAACAAACAGTAAAAGGTATTCATTACGATTGCGGACAAAAACGGAATTGGTTTGGAATTTAAGGGCAAAAAAGTGACAATCCACTTCAATTGAGGGGCCGGATGTAGCAACTGCCGCTACGCGCTGTCGCACTGGTATTGTCCTTTTCGACACCCCTTATTACTGGAATAATATTTTTACAAAAAAAGCAAATATATTATACTTCTTAAGCATACACGGAAAAACTTTTTTCAAGAGTTATTTAGAAACTTATTCAAGAACTCAGGATATGGAAAAGAAACAAGAAATGCTACAAAACCGTAGATAGAAATATTATTTTAAGCTGTTCGGGGATAACTGTAGTAAATTTCTGGACTACTTGTTGAATTTTCTTGAAAAAGTCCTGAACTGGTTTAAGAATTGAAAAATGTGAAATTAACGAAAAAAATTTGCCCGCGTGAGTAGTCGAACTTGAGACCTCGAGATTTTAAGAAAGATCTCTCCGCCTTATGCCACTCAGCTGTGGACGCGTTACGATATTATAGCTTTAAATCATATTTGAAGCGCTTAAAGCCAACAGGCGCTGTATACCTATTGGTTACTCTACGTCTTCTTTCTTAAATAGTTCGGGACTTTTTCAGCGCGCAGTCACTGAAGTATTCAGTCGCAGCGTTAAGAACAATTATTTCCAAGCCATTAGAAAAACACCTGAAAATTCTTTAATGAATATTGAACTTTTCTAAAAAAAGTTCTAAATTTTTTTCCAGATCCTGAGTTCTTGAATAAGTTTCGTAATAACTCTTAAAAAAAGTTTTTCCGTGTAGTCCCTAATCATACATACATACAACACTTAAATTAAATTAATTTAATTTATTAACATTACGTTTGAGTGAATTCTGTGCCAAAATTATTTTTGCAATCCACGACTGTGTCACGATAATATATAAAGTTAACAAAAAAAATTGTGCAAGATAATTCTTTTTTAATATTCAGTGCAAGACAATTTTAATTCAAATTTGCGTGCAATATAATAACACGTGAAGTTGCGGACAATATAATTCTATCAAAAATGTTAATGCAAGACAATTCCACTCAACCCCAAAATAATAAAAACCTTCAAAAATACTTTAAACTCATAGTTTTGCTTTTAGTGGTTATGTGAAATATAGAGAAGCAATTTTTGTTAAACATTAGAATCATAAAAGCATTTATATAAGATTTTTATAATAATAAATTTTTGAATTAATTTTCTTGAATTTTTTGATATATTATTGAAACAATATTTAAAAGAAATCTAAAAAATTAATTAATTAAATAAGTTTATTGCAATGAATTTTTAAGTGATTACTTAAAAAGGCATGTATTTTAAACAATTTATGTTACTACTGAGAAAAATGTTATTAGATTTAATTGTAAATTAATTGTTTGCATTAATAAATATTGGAATTTTTAGATCAGAAATTTAGTTACAAGTAAACAGAAACAAAATTTTTTTCTAGTTAATATTAATTTAATATTTCAAAAAATTCAAGTAAATTAATTCAATAATTTATTATAAAAATCTTATATAAATGCTTTTATGATTCTAATGTTTAGCAAAACTATGAGTTTAAAGTATTTTTGAAGGTTCTTATTATTTAGGGGTTGAGTGGGCATTTATTTACGTTGTGTCAAAATTTAGAATTGTCTTGCATTAAGGTACTACTACACTTTAGAAGGCTCTTAAAAGACTAAATTTTAAAAAAAAATTTTTTAGGTCTTTTATTATAAATATTTAAAAAACTTTTTTGCCTATATTAGTACATATTTGGAGAATAAAAATTGTTTGTTTTTAATTTTTATTTAATATCATAATCTGCAGACAGCATTCAGATCGAAACTCCAAAAAGTTAGTTGTCCAATTGCGGACAGTTTATCTCAAGATTGACAAATCGGAAACAAAAAATCCAAATTGCTTTTTAAAAAGGAAGGTGTTTGGCATAGAAATCTACCACCATTAATGAGAAAAGGACTAAAATAAAAAAATAGCAGATGTTTCAATAATTTTTGTCAAAATACACTATGTTTTTCAGTATTTTTCTAGTCTGCAAAAATGTTTGTTTTTAAAATTTTTTGACCATTTTCTGGTAAATTCTCACACAGGATATGCTAACAAACAAAACGAGTTATTATTTATTAAAATCGGTTCAGTAGATTCAGAGATAAACTGTCCGTAATTTGAGAAAACGTTATTTTGAGAAAAACGCGTTTAAATTTATATGTATTATCGTTAGAGGCCATCCATAAATTACCTAAAATTCTTTTGCACATTGAAACCCCACCATTTTTAGGGTTCCGTACACCTACGGTGTATCGGCGGAACCCTATTGGTGAGACTCTGTTGTCCGTAGCCGAATCGTGTCCCCCCCCCCTAGCGGCTAAACTATTTGACCTAAAGAGCTCAAATTTGGTTCAGATATGTATTTTCACTCGTAGATTACAGGAAAAATATAGCGAATGTGATTGGACGTGATGGGCATAGCGTTGTCAAGGAAATAACAAGATTTTTGGCCAAAAATGCATAAAAAGTGACCATTCCCCCCCCCTTAACTTCTAAACTATTCGACATGGAGAGCTGAAATTTTGCATGCTGGTGTATTTTTACTCGAATATTACAGGAAAAATATAGAGAACTTGATATGTAATGATGGCCATAGCGTTGTCAAGGAAAAACTAAAAAATTTTTTAAAAAAATTTTGTTTTCCCTAACTTTTACATTATTTGACCTAATGAGCTGGAAATTGGTATCCTGGTGTATTATTACAGTCTGACGACAAAAAATTTATTTAAGAAACTTTTTTTTTAAAAAATTTTTTTTAATTTTTTTTTCAAAAAAAAAAATTTTTTTAATTTTTTTTAGTTTAAACACGTGGCATTAAATATTTTAAGGAAGAGTGAAATTTTAAGAGAATAAATGAGAGATTGTTTTCTGACTTTAATTTCTTAACTAAAAATAAAAAAAAATTGGACAAGTGCGAGTTGTACTCGCACTGCAATGGCGGATTCCGTACACAAATATTAAAACAATACTTGCAACATTTATCGGTAATTAGTAGAATTAAAATAAACAATTAAAAAAATATATTAAAATCATTTGATAAGAAGAAATAACTAAAAAAAATTAAAGTATTGTATATCTAATATTGTAAACAATAATAAGCAGAGGAACAAAATTTTCAAAATTATAGTTCCTCTGCTCTTATTATTGTTTACAATATTAGATATATACAATAATTTAATTTTTTTAGTTATTCTTTTTTATCAAATGATTTTAATATATTTTTTTAATTGTTTATTTTAATTCTACCAATTACCGATAAATGTTGCAAGTATTGTTTTAATATTTGTGTACGGAACCCGCCATTGCAGTGCGAGTACAACTCGCACTTGTCCAATTTTTTTTTATTTCAGACACTGTTACATACATTAGCACCAATGTTTCTACTGGTCGTAACAAAAAGCTGGACCCCACCATCCCCTTAAAGACTTACTTAATTTGTCAATGACTTTTTACATTAATTGAATATTTTTTGATAAATTTACTTTTATTTTTTACAATTGGTTATAAATACTTTAGGAGGTGTTTTCTGAAGTCATAAGGAGTTAAAAAATACAATAAAAAAAAAATAAAATTTTTTTAAATTCTAAAGTGTAGCAGTACCTTAACATTTTTGATAGAATTATAAGGTAGTTCAAGTTGGGTGGGGGAAATCCAATATGGCTGACATCAGCTGATTTACCGGAGGACAAACAATGCATTGAATTCAATGGGACAAATCAGTTTTTTAACCATAACTTTTTAAATATTCATTTTTGAACCATAGTGTAATGGAAAATTATTCTTTATTTATCGAAATCTATTTTTTAAAACAATAAAACCAAAAAATTAAATTTTATTGTTTTAAAAAATAGATTTCGATAAATAAAGAATAATTTTCCATTACACTATGGTTCAAAAATGAATATTTAAAAAGTTATGGTTAAAAAACTGGTTTGTCCCATTGAATTCAATGCATTGTTTGTCCTCCGGTAAATCAGCTGATGTCAGCCATATTGGATTTCCCCCACCCAACTTGAACTACCTTATACAGTCCGCAACTTCACGTGTTATTATATTGCACGCAAATTTGAATTAGAATTGTCTTGCACTTGTTTTTTAATTAGAATTATCTTGCACTGACATTTATGTTAGCATTTTATGAACGGAAGGCGTCGAAATGCCGTCAACTGGAAAAAATACTCAATGCAAATATAGTTAGCTGCGAGTATCTACAGATGTTCAGTAACATGTTCTTCTAAAACCAGACCTTTAATTTGATTAGCTTAGCGTATAAGATTTTTTTGGTAACACAAGGCCTAAATCACTAAATAATTTGATTAACAATTAAAAAACAAAATGTAAATTATGCCCTTTTTCAGCTCATACCTGCGTTCCCTAAAACTTTCCGTTTTTTTTATTTGCATGCTTGTGTTCGATTGCTGAGTTTTGCATTAAGCATTGAGTGTAATAAAGATGGAAGTATATGTCTGTTCTTCTCAAAACGCAGCGTTCGAATTCAGGCATGTGAGCACAGCCTTAGGTTTTGTACATAAGATTAACATTAAAAAATGGTTTTAGGGGATTCATCCATCTTGGTGCAGGCCTTTCAGTCGGTTTCTCCGGATTAGCTGCTGGCTTTGCCATTGGAATTGTAGGCGACGCTGGAGTAAGGGGTACTGCTCAGCAACCTCGTCTCTTCGTTGGGATGATCCTGATTCTCATTTTCGCTGAAGTCTTGGGTCTTTATGGTTTAATCGTTGCTATTTACTTGTACACTAAGTAGAATTTTAAAAATTATAATTCCATTATTAACAGAAAGTTCAAAATCATGATTTGCTAGTAAAATTTTAAACAATTACAGAATATGCAATCGCAATATATTCACAATATTTTAATGTTTGATAATTTTTTTTAACGAGTCCCGTTGCATAATGTTTTATTTTCAAATACTGTTACTTCATAAACCGTGTTACTTTTATTTACTATACATCATTTACTATCAATCATAATTTTGAACACTCCAAAAAATCAGATTCGTATATATTAATTCGTACAGCTCCGACACTCGCAAAATTTGAGTAATTATTTATACCCGTAGAGGCAAGAGGCAAATTGAAAGATTTGTCGAATTATTATAAAGATCGTTTTTTATTTGCGCGAAAATCATCTTACTCCTCGAATAGGACTATTTCTTATAATTTTTTGGCAGTATAATCTGCGTGGACATACAGAAACTCGTGTCGAGCATTTTGTTAAACGATTTCCAAGGAAGGAATGTTCAAACAACACAGTCCACCTCGGAATAGGTAGAAAATTACTTCAGCAGATACACAAGGAGATAGAGTACTATATCACACATATATGTATACCATGCCAAACTTTTCTCCTTCATTGTACAATAATTATTTCTAATATTATTTGAATTTAATTTGATATTTAAATATCAATTTAATGAATCGGCTCTACTGAGTGTATAAAGTAGTATTAAAAAATAAATGAATACATTACAGTGAATATGTAAATATCTCTGGAACAATTTGAGTCGAATATGAAAAAACAAATTTTCTCGGATAATACTTAAGTCAATTTGAGAGAATATCGAGTGAAGTGAGATTATTTATGCCCATGTGTGACTTGTGATAAAAAGTGATTTTGTCAAAACAAAAAAAACATACTGCTGAGGTTGGCGAGACTGAATCTTGGAGACATTTTACTTTATTTCATTCACAAACCGATACATATAGTTCAATGTTATAGAAATACTTTCAATTAGAGAAATATTGGGCTGCACATAACAAAGAATATTTGAGTAACGCATTTTCATTATACGATAGCGAATTCTAGTGAATGTGAGTTTTATTCCTCAGATACAAAACGGGAAATAATATGTAAAGTAACGATATTTTAAAACAATGTATACATTCCATAGTATCTTTATTTACCATGAAACAAACAAACGTTTTCAATTCCACAATCTCAAAGTTGATATTAATATAGTATTACAAACATTTTTAAGCCGCGTGAGTTGCCTGGGAGCTGGCGATTCACTCCGCTTTGCTTAATAAGAGTTGTGAAATTGAGAACAGACTGTTCGTTTAATAGATCGTATTGGTTCTGCAAAATTTCTTACTAAAAGTTATCATTTTAGAAGTCATTTAAGAATTAAAGTTTATTTAATTGGATCGCATTAAAGTCTGTTACCTATTTTTCCCCTCTGTCTCCTTTTCTCCTCAAAACATTAAAATCTGCTTTATTTTTCTTTTTCAAAGAGAGTAATTTAATTTACGTCTTTTGTATAGTTTCGATGTGAAGAAATAGTAAGCTTCGGAACAAGGTGTCAGCGCGACACCGCGTATCCGACCATACTTTTCTTTATGAATGCATCTCAAAATGGCCGACCGAAGTATTTTGTCCACACCCAACTGTGAGCAAAATGTTTTGCGCGTCGGTTGTCGGCCATTTTGAATGACTGCTAATGATTGCTACGCTAAATAAGCGTTTCACATGCCTGGACAAAGAAACAGTTATAATGTGTTAAATCAGATTATTCTAATTAACGGGGTTATTGCAAACAAAAATTTAATTAAATGGGCTTTAGTTTTCAGTAGATAGGATGATATTCAATTCAGTCAATTGATACAACGCATAAATTATAATAAGAAATTTCATGTCAAAGAATTGCATAATTCTTCGTTTTTTAATTTTCTCATTTTTTTTAATAAAATGTTTTCATTAGTTTACTTTTGCAACTGATAGACTTCATAATTGATTTTATTAAAAGTACCAGGATTTTGTTTTGCTTTAACTATGAGAGAAGAAAAGTGGAAAACAGCTATTTTACTGATACACCAGAGCGTTGTTGAACGAAATGTTTTGCTATAAAATCATTATTGGTCAATATTTATTAATCTATTTTTACTCTAAATTTAAAGTCTTCTATTTTACACATACTTGTGTTTTTCCATTTAATCACATTTGAAAAGAAAAAATGTTTTTCATTAATATTTATTTAAATTATTATTCTAAAATATAAAAAATTAAAAACAAGCAACATCCTGCAAGAAATGAAAATGAAAATGAAAAATCGAATAATAGCTGATTGTGAATGTCGTAAGATGATTGCACGCAAATGTGAAGCCAAGTTACATTCGGGGGCCGATTATTTGAAAAACATTAAAACAAACATTTCATTCTTAAATTTTTTAGCAAAAAAGTTGTTAAAAGTAACATCAGTGCTGGAAATTGTAAAAGAGTACATCTAATGTCCAAAGTAAGAACCTAGTGAGTCGCATTTGCCATTAGGTCGAAAGTTGCTTAAGCGTCTTTGAACTTTACGGCAAATTCGACTTACTAGACTTTTACTTGAATCAGTTGACCTTTTTAACATACTTTTAATGAGTCTAATAAACTTTTGAAGATAGTCTTCATATTTATGATACCACTTATTTTAAAAATATTACTTATAATTATAGATTACTTAAAACGTATAGGTGTAAAATATTACTCTTCATAATTAGTGATTATAAAAAATGAAGTACATATGCCTCTTTAATGAAAACTTAATTGCAGGCCGTTCCTTAATTTTAATGTGAATCTCCAATTTTTAAAAAAGTAAAGCATAATGAAAAGGAATTTTTAAATTCAACAGATGTTTGCTACCTATTCCTGAAATTAACATTTAATTTTATTTAAATTTTTTAAAATATTTTTTCAGTTAAATTTGCGTCACCTTACGTAATTGAAATTAGTTACGAATTTTAAAAATAATTTTCTTCTATCAAATTATATATTAAAGAAGATAAAAATAATAAACATATTTGAAAACAATAAAATCGATAAGGTTGTTAATGATTGTTTTTGTGTTTTTAAATTATAGTTTTAAAGCAAATAATAAGATGATGTTAAAAGAGGTGTCCTGTTAAAATTTTTTTTTATTTTTAATGTGCAATATTATATGCATACTATAAATTAGAAATAAAATTGGATAATAATTTCTACAAAAATTTTATTGACATGGAAAATTTTTATTGAAAAATAAAGAAACCTGCAATAATTAGTATATTGGTTTTCCCTATTTTTATCATCCTAAAATGTAGTTGTGGAAAGTTTTGACATTTTTCCTTAGGAACTAATTTACTTGTATTGTATATATATACCAACTTTGGCGTTTTAAATTCTATTATATGATGACTTAGTTTATAATATGTTTCATTTATACATTGGTATTATAGTTTACCTTAGACTTTTAAAATTGTGTGATAATTATAAGGTTTTAATGTAATTGTGTAAGTGGTAATTTGCATGAGAGCATGAGTGTGAAAGAGTAATTATCTACGTGAAAAATAATCGTCGCCACCTCAAACATTGAATTCATTTTCTTCAAAATACTAACTTCCAATATTGTGTGCTAAGAGTGGTACTGATCATATTAATAATTATTTGTGTCATAAAACATTGTCCTCGATGTTACAAGAAATAATATTGAATAAAAATTTAATTTGGACAAATGTACCTTTCACTAAGCACTTGTATATTGTGTACAGAATCTTTTCTTTCATAATAATATCACCTCTAGGATTTCACTTTGTTGTTGATACAACGAAAAAGATTTCTTAAAAATGCCGTATTGAAATGTATGAATTCTCAGTTAAGTTTTCGATTTGATTTCTTTAAAACTTTTCAAGCAATATTATGGATACTAGAGGTGATTTTATTTCAGCTATCTACCATATATATTTAAATGATTCGTAAAACGAAATTAAAATTATTAATCAGGGTGTCCAGCGATTCTTCAAAAAAAATTCAAGGTTTTCAAGGTCCAAAATAATTTTTTTCAAGGTCTATTTTTAAGGAACTACACGGAGAAAAATGGAAAAATGATTTATGCAGTCAGTGTAGTACTCCTTTATAGAATAATATGTGACAGGTACACACTCCCAGATAGCACGCAAGCTTGCTGCAAACTTGCACTGCAAGTTTTGCAAGATTGCAGTGCAAGCTTTCTGCAAGTTTGCAGCAAGCTTGAAATGCCTGGACTGCTGCAAACTTGCACTGCAAGCTTGCAGCAAGTTTGTAGAAAGCTTTCAGCAAACTTGCTGCAAGCTTGATGCAAAGTTGCAAAATTTTTTTGTATGCATGAAAAATTATGTTTTTTTTACCCTTTTTTGCAAATATTTTTAATTTTATTAAATTTAAAAAAGGTACAAAAAGCAGAATTTCTTATGAATATATAAAAAAAATTTGCAACTTTGCAGCAAGATTGCAGCAAGCTTGCTGCAAGCTTGCGTGCTATCTGGGCTATAGTATTAGAAGTTTCATAGCTGAACAGTTTGGGACTCAACACAAGTTATCCCATTCATCAGCTTAAACAAGACTGTTTATATAGTCTAAGAGGGAATAAGAGTATAAAAAATTGGAATGAGAAATTACTTTCTCATGTAATTGTTGAAAGAACGCGGCAGTGTACAAAACACAAGTCAATAATAGAAGCGAATATTGAACAACTAGTACTCAGTCCAGTTCTTTTGAAAAATGAACGCCGTGCACATAAAGTAGATACCTACTCGAAAACCACAAGTTATTCTCTCTCTCACACTAATGGTCGTTCACTTATCTTACGGTTTCACTTACTCTTACTACTCTCAACTATTATGCAGTGCAGTTAAGTTCATTAAATTATTAAATATTGCTGTGAGAATAATTAATTATACATTTCATTCAAGGTCAATTCACTATTTTGTACACGAAAAAAAAGAATAATCAAATTTACCATGAGGACTGTCAAACTTAAAAAAGGTTTCAAGGTTATTAAGAAAAAATTAATGTTTTTTATTTATTTATTATTAAATTCTAATAATTAATTCTAAATACACGCATATTCTAATTTATTTCATTGGTAAGGGATGTTTCTTAAATAGGAAATTTCCCCCATCTATTGCGTAGCCGAGAGGCTGTAAAAGCGTGCGATTTATAATTATGCGTATATTTAGTTGTGTGGTTAGGTAGGCGTTCAATCCCGTATGATTGTAAGATTTTCCGATGCATTTAGTTGTTAATTGTAAGTATGAAGATGTGGGAAGAATAAAACTTGTGAATTAAGGAATATGAATATATAAAGAGTGCATTTAACACATTTTTCTTTTTTTTAATGATTGGTTATTGTTTTTTTTATATAAAATTGACGAAGTGAATACAAGGAAACACTCGTATCGCGTCGCGTCGGCCATTTATTTTGACAGGTTCCGCGCCTGCGTTCCCTCATTGTGAAAATTTCGAAGTAGGGGACTGAGTCCAGTTTCTCTACTATATGCACACTGCAGCGCGCCTTATAATCTTCGCCTGTGTTTCAATGCTCTTTACAGTGACATTTGGAACTAAGGCCCTTTATACACTATACGCAACACCCTAAGATGCTTGCTGGAAATGAATTAATGTACTTTTACTGGACTGAGTCCAGTTTTTTCAATATTGACTCCCAGTTTTTTAAACTCTATTTTTCTCAGTGTAATTTTCAAAATATTTGTTATTTATAATCGAGTATAATAGTGTATTTCAAGTAAATTTTTACTTACTGTCTAAATTTGAATTAGTAAAAATGATTACTAATTTGATTTAGTGACTGACTTTTTGCTTTTGAATTAGTAAATTTTACTAATAAATAATCATTTCTACTAATTTTTTTAGTGAAATTTACTAATTAAATAGCAAAAAGAAACATCAATCGAATTCTTTTGAGAATTTTTATTAAAATAATTGATATTAAGAAAAATTTTTGAAAATAATTGAAATTTTGCAATGAATTTTATTAAAATTTTTAAAAATAATTGAAATTTTGCAATGAATTTTATTAAAAATTTTGAAAATAATTGAAATTTTGCAATGAAGCATTCTTATTAACAGAAAAATAATTTTTAAAATTCAAACGTAGTTTTTTTATTAAATTTTCTTGAAAATTTTACACCATATCATGTTTTATATATTTTCTAGAATAGTTTTTAGTACAGAAAAATTGTTCCAAATTTTTTGAATTTTTTTGGTGCAAGTTGGACGGCTTGCATTTTCTAAGAAAAAAATTACACTTTAATGCCTACACGGAAAAAATTCCGGGACATTAGATGCGCCGAGGACAGTGTCAACAGCAGTACATTTCATTTTGCACGTCTGAGGTGCCATTTCGAGATATCAGAA